CTTTTTCACAGTTTTCTGGATTGTTTGCAGTTCAGTCCTGTGCAACATAATGAAAGTTTTCTAGCCATCTGTTGCTAAGCTGGCGGTGAGCAAGGCCAGTATATCCAAACAAAGTTCTGGCCTGCTGTAAACTGAACCTGTCAGTTTAGCATAGCTTTGCTGACCCCTCCAGTGAACAGGGCAGCACTTGGTACCAGGCACTCGCTGCTTAGAGCTTTCAAAGGGGAACTATTTTGGGGTTAGGGGGTGGGGGCCTGTTTACTTTTTCCCTCCCATTCCTCTTGCTGGCTTGGAACTCACACTTAATCTCTAAATGGGTGCTTTCCCCCCTTCCTTCCCCTCCCCTGGGGGAGGGCATAACTTCCTAATAGGAGACTGTAACTGTTAGGAAACAGTGTGCGGGTCTCTAAATGTGTGTGCGGTGGCTGTGATGGGAAGGGCTGTTGTGTTATTTTGGTTTCATTCTTTTGCCCTCCAGTGTTTGGGGACAGAGAGTCCAGGCGAAGCATCTCCTAAAGTTCCTACTTGGCTTAGATCATGACACATTGTTCAGAGCCTTCAACAGGACTTGTTACTCCCTGTCTTGTGTGCTTTGCATGTCATCAGCAGACGTTAACACAAGACCTGATGTAGCAGAGTGGCAATTAGACAGCGCTCCCTGCTGTATGGGGCATCGCCTACTCTCCTAAGGTCCGTCTAGTGCTTCGAATTGCCTGAGCCTTAAAATAACTTCTTTGTTTTGTGGTGTTTTTCTTACCCTTTTGTAATAGTGTTTCCTTGGCAATATGTGAAACATGGCTATATATTCAGATCACACACGCAGTAGTATATATCTGATTTCCAACTTTTTTTTCCCACTGAAATAAGCCTGTTTTAAGTCTATTTTTCATGAACTTTTTGAAGTATCTTCCCCTACCCTCCTTAACAGAGTCTGAACATAGCCAATGCTAGGCAGGAAGTTATTTACAGACAGATGTGGAACCTTAAAGGGGTTCATGGAAATGACATATTAGGAACAAAACTATGCATGGATTTCACATTTTTTGCACAAAAATGGATATCATTCATTTTCCACGATCCCAAGTTTTTTGTGTACATACACACAGATTCACATAGTCTAATTGTCTATCCACAAGTGTCCCCAACCGCCATGAGTCCCTTTTGGGTTAGTGGCTTCCTGTAAGTGCCGTTGCATTTTATCTGGCCTTTACTGTCAGCATTCCCCATCCGGAATCGGTTACCTGTGTGCTGGGTGAGGGAGGGCCTTGGGAGGCCAGCATCCCACCAGCTTGTCCAAGGAGGATGGCCACTGCTGCTGAACAACCCAGCAGCCACTGTTGTGGTCACCCAGCCCCTCCAGGTGAAAAGCAACCTACAGTTGCGCCCAGCAGCAAAGGGAAAGGACCGGGCGCTGGGGTGAAAGGATTGAGGCCAGCACTCACATTAACCGAGGAGCACGCAAGGACCAGGAACTACATCCCTGGGTGGGCATGGAGACAGAAGAAACCAAGGGGTAGACTAAGAGAGCTGCCTGCTCTTTAAGGGACATGCGACATTATTACCCAAGCGCAAAACATTTAATTTAAAATGTCAATGAATGCACTTACTTGGAAATACCAGAGTCATATCTGTTTCTAATGTGGTTGACATATAAAGTACTTTTTTGTTGTTGCTTCAAAGTTTAAAAAAATGTATCTGGGGTAGAGTTTGGAGAATGTGTTTCAGGTACAATATAACATGTGTTTACGCTACGAGTCAAGCAAATAACCTTGGTATTTAGGACACTGCCTTTCAGAACATGAAATTGTATTTTGTTGTGTCTCTTTTTTTTTTTTTAAAGGAGGGCTACATTAAGGGGTCACCTATTAGCTGTGTTTTTGCTGTCTTAAACTCAGCCCTTCTGTCTATTAAAATCAAACCACTGTGTAAACATTCCAGTGTTGTTCTTGGTCTCTACAATGGCCACGGGGATCAGGTTTCACCTGCCTGCACATCTTCAAGCAATTAGAGCAATTAACGTGAAGCCATTTCACATTGGAGGATTCAAGGTCTGTGGTGACATTCAAGTCCAGGGTGAGCCTGAGAGAGAGAGCGGGGAGAGGCCCGGAGCCTGACCACTATGCCGTGGCCCTGAGCAGACAATTCTCTTTTAAAAATGGTAGCTCTTTAATGATGTTATTATGAGGTTTTTAAATGACATATCAAAAGTTGTTTATATCAAAAAAACCCAACAGTCATTTAATTATACTAATGAAGGTCTTTATACGTGGCAGATTAGGGGGAAAAAAAACCCTCTAATGGGCCTGAGAGATAAAGTGCTGCTTCTTGCATTACAGTGGTGGCAGTGGCAGTCTTTGTAGGGAAAGAATATATTTTATAATGTATAAGGGAATTTGCATGTCTCTTTTCATGGTAAACCTCCCTGTTGTGGGTAAATGTAACGATAACAGCAACACGGAATATTCAGTGGAAGATTCTTGCACTCAGTGTTGAAAGCAACTGTGTTGGATTTTGTTGTTGTTGTTTTTCAAGGGTAGAGAAGAACAGTGGTTACTTTGACAGATTGAACAAGTACAGCTTAAAGAAAAACTAGCAACTTTAGCACATCCCATAGCTGTGTAGGCACGACAGAAGGTGACTTTTAAAAAACAGTCTTAGACTCGGGTAGGGCTTGCTTTGTTTGTTTGTTTGGTTTGGTTTTTTTACATTTGTAACCTAGTTACACAGGAATCTTGTTTGCACAAGGCAAACCCTAAACTGATTACAGCTTTTTAAATTGGATCCCAGGTTTCTAAATCCATATTTTGCTGTTGGTTTATTATGCAAAAAAGGTGGAAGGGGGGGGAAGCGCTAATTTTAAAAATCCAAGCTTACAGCTACAGAAGATCCTGCTTTGCAGTCCCAGAGGGTGCTTGCAATCAGGAATGCCGCGGGCTAAATGATAATGTGGAATTCTGTTGTCCTTTAACCTGATGCTGCCTGTTCACGCTCCGTGTTTGTTAACAAACAGCTCTAAGTACGAAATCATTCACTCAGAGAACTTTTGCATTTAATGAAACAAGAGACTTTCTTTAAATCATTGTTCCCCTCTGAGAAAGTTCTCACCATCGTTTCTTTATGGGAGTGCCTACTTGGCTTCCGAGCCACCACGAGGTGTGGAGCAGTGACCCCTCTGTGGGATGGAGCTGGAATGCTTGTGTTGATTCAGTAATGAGCTCCCCAGCCCCATCCCCTAGGAAGGCTGCCTCAGCTCTGCTGCTGGGAGCTGTCTCTCCTGGGCTGCAGAGCCCATGGTGCCCAGGCTGCGTGCCATTTGCAACTGCATCACAGGGCAGATGCTGATCAAAGGCAGCAGGTTGGACTCCCAGAAGGAGTCCAGCTTCCTGTTGCGCTCCCTCCACACGGCTGGCTGGGAGATCATTTGCTGAATCCATCCTGGAGCAGCTGAGTTGGAGAGCGACATTTGCGTGGGCTACTCCACCCTCTGCTAAAGGGGAGAGGCCGTGCAGGGCTCAGTTGGGCGGTGAGGCAGGAAGCCAGATCATTCCCATCTTTCCCCTGGCCTCGTCCTCTCTCTCTCTGTGATCTGCCTTTTGAACTGTTTTTGTGGCTGATCAGTTCCACCTAATATGTCTCTTGATTTCTGCTATTGTCATACCCAGGCGACATGCTGTTCTCTTCATTTTTATAAGCTTTACATGCTTCTGCCTGTCATATTCTGGCGGTTTATCTTCAGCGTCTGGATTTGCTTTCAGACTTGCATGTCTATCAAGCTGCCGTTGCTTTGAATGTGAGATCAAAAGAAGATGAATTCCAGTAAAAAAAAAAATTTCCTTCTATGAAGAAAAGATTGGGGTCTGTGTAAACATCCCACTGACAGCTCCCAATGAGTTATTTTAGCTGCGTATTAGCACCTGGATGACAGACAGTCCAGCGTTCCACGCTCAATAACAGATCACTTGCTGCCGTGGCACAGGAGCATTGCCACAACAGCAGTGCATTTGCACAAGGAATCCTCTTCTTCCTCCTCTGCTTTTTTTTTTTCCTTTCTGTTTTCATTTTTTATTGAAGATGGCTGTTCAACTCTTCGTCCTCTTCCCCTGGCTGGCTCCTGACGCCTTCAGCAGTTTGCTTTTCCTTGCAGAACCTGTCAAGTTACTCGGGTGACAGAAAACAGGACTTTGATTATTAGTTCGGGGCGAGTGGAGAAGTGTTTAAGCAGACAAGACAAACAGGTAGTTTGGTTGATTACAGAGGAGGAGAATGTTGAGACGACGGAGCAAACGCAAGCTCAAGGGCATATCCCTGAAACGCTGGGCCACTGTGTTCTTTAAAAATAAATGTGACAGAACCCTCTAAAGTCTGCAGAAATCTGAATTTTCTTGCTTTTTTTTTTTTTTTTAAAGCATCCTGCCTATGTAAATGTCACCACTGAAATAGCTCAGGAGCAGGTTTCCCACCACTGTGGTGTTGTGTCCCGGTGTGCACGGAGGAGCTGCTGGTGGTCAGGGCTGAATCCAGCCGGGGCACCACTTCCCGAGGGGTGTGTGTGTGTGTGTGTGTGTGTGTGTGTCTGTGTGTGGCTGCTGGCAGACCCACTGTGATTTGGGCACGTGTCGCCTTCACCAATTTCTCTGTAAGTGCTCAAGGCAACTTTGAACGTTACCTGCAGGCTCCAAGTGATCTTTCAACTTTGAAAGTGAAGAATGGCTTGAGGAATTCTTGTGGTTTCTTTGTCACTGAGCGAGCGCGCAGCCAGCTACTGTTGGAGGCAGAGCTCGCCGAGGTTGCCTACAAAGGGCAATGTTCCAGTGCGTTTTCTCCTCGAGTGTGCTTCAGCCACACAGCACTTCCTGTTTATTCAAACATCTTTTTTACCACTCGGCAACCCCCGCTTCACAGAAGCAGCCAGAACCCCATCTACAGCAAGAAGACGGAAATCCAAAGGCAGACAGAACGAGCTCTCGCCGTCAAACTCTACTTCTCTGTAAGTGCCCAGAGAGGGGGAAAAAAAAAAAGAAAAAGAAAAAAAGAAAAGACCATTTTTGCTGGGTTAAACTTTTAGACTGGGACGCCTTGCTGGCGCAGACATCCACAGAAGGGCAAAATGAGATGATCCAACTTACCGTCTTTTCCCTCCCCCTCCCTCTCCTCTCCGCCAAAGGCTCTCCCCCACCTCCTCCTTTTTCGAGATTTGCGAGCCCTGGCGCCTGCTTACTCCTCCTTTGGTTCCCTCTGGTTTTGCAACGTGTCTCGGGGTGTAATCGGTAGAGAAAGCAGCCGCGTGCGGTCGGAATGGTGTGGTGGGCTGCAGGCAGAACCCCCGTCTGCTTCCTGTGACACTGTTTCGCGTTGCCTTCTTCCTGTTATCACCAGCCGGGGCGAGAAGGGATCGGCGGCTGTGCCGTCCTGCCTGCGCCGACACAACCGTCCTCTGCCGTTTGCATCGTGACATTGTCATCCTTTGTGGATGGGGGCTTGATAATATTTGTACCAATTTCATGCCAATAAAAGTCAGACTGCTGAACCACGCACGGTCATTATCTCATTTATATGACTATTGTTTAAATGGAGGGGGCTGCGAGAGAACAGAGAAAGCCTGCCTCACTTTGCGCGATGGTTGTTAACTTTGATGTTGGAAGGCTCTTTTCAAAATTTCCATTGTGGATAATTAGTATGGCAGGGAAAGCCCTGGAACTTGGGCGGCCTCTGCTCTGAGTGGAAGAGCCGGGTAACGGCTCTCTGAGCCCTTCCTGTTGAAATGACTTTTTAAACACATGCTGTGACATTTTTAAGACAGGTTCCGCCTTTTCCCATCTGTAGTCATCCCTCTGGCCTTTCTCTCCTCCCTCTACAACCCCCTCCCCCACCCCGGGGCCCCCAGCATTAGTGTCATTAGTAAAATCAGCCAGGTGCTATTTTTTTTTTAAGTATGTATTGGTCATGGAATAGACAGGAAATGGAAAATGAACTCTTTAGATCCTCAAGAGAATTCTAGTAAACTCTTCACTTTGTTTGTTAGTCCCCAGACTAAATATCCCTAAATGTTGGTGTCTAAAACAGCATCTGTGAGAACAGAGAAGGAAATAATGCATGCTGTATAGTTGTCCAGGCTTCTCACAGAGGAGACCTTTAAATAAACAAGTTTATGTGTGTATGACTTTGACCAGGATGGCTTTTTTTTTTTTTAATGTTCAAAAGTTGTTCTACTTTGTAAGGGAAAAAAAAATGATGTTTGTGACTGCCTTCGAGACAATTTGTTTAACAGTAGGAGTAATTGCAGGAACATGGAAAGAGTGACTGAAGGCATTTGCTCAGATCTGAGTGTAGGTGTGGGGGCCGAAAGCAGTGTGGGAACAGTGGGCTGCTTTTCTTAGTATCTCCGTCTATTTGATGACCATCAAATTTCCCAGCTCGCTGGTTTTGTTTTTTCTGGATGGCATGTTTGATTATTTATCAGAAGGGAAGGGAGTCGCTGAAGCAAATAAACATGTGACCGAGGTCTGTTTTGTTTTCCACTCAGAGAGCCTGGCCCTTTGACAGATATAGAAAATAATAAATGCATTGTTTTACGATGAAAGGAAATTATATGTCTCTCTCTCTTTTTTTAAAAGAAGGCAAATTAGTTAACCCTTAAGGTTCAGGAGATTTTTTTTTAAATCAAATTTGAATTTTTTTTTTTTTTTTTTTTTTTGGCCTGGTGAGAATCTGCCAGGCCTTTTACGCTGGGAGTGAATCTATTGCGGTACATGGGTTTTGGGGATAGGAGTCCCCAGGCTCAGTTGTTGAGTAGTTTGGCTTTCCTAGGTGCTTTGCCTGGTTGTGCTTGCCTCAGTAGCTCTCTTTATGGAGTGTGTGTGTGTACGCACATACCTGCCTTAATTAGTGACACCACTGGGCAAATCAACAGTTGTTATGGTTTTGTAGAAGACTTTGTTTTGACTTTAGCTCCAAACATGAACAGCTCAACTAAAAGGAGATATACCACAGTGTTCTGTTGGCCGGCCTATAACGTCATTGATGGGAGGCCAAGGTTTTGGACCCCTCTGAGAAGGCAAAGCACAGAGACCTGTCTGTGTCCTTCGGCGCCTTCTCGCCATGGACGCGGTCATGTGATACTAAGTGAGCGCTGTGATCTCGGATCCTCCCGAGGCCACGGGGAAAGCTTGACTCCACCTGAACATGTAGATTTTAAAATGAGCAAATGAATATTTACCTTTCATTTCATTTGAATTCACAGGTGAGGCTTGCTTGCAGGTGTGTAGCTGTTCTCCATGCATAGGGAGTCGCTGACATCCAGGAGCTCCGTGGCACATTCTGTGGAAAGCAGAGTGTGCTCTTCTGTAGGGCTTCCTGCCTTGCACACCTCGGAAAAAGGGGTGTGCGTGTGATCCCAGCACAGTGCCTGGCCCGGTTGTCTCCTGCTCTGTAAATCACAGCTGAAAATCTGTCCCGTTGCCTATACTGTTTTGGAATGTGAATTGAAAATATGCACACAGAGGATTCCCTCTGCATTGACTATATAAGGGAACAGTGCAGCGCACGCTCCAAGCGTGCAGCTTCCCCCCCGAGCTCCTGCATGGAGCTGGGAGGCTGCTCTGTACCGGGTAGGACCGCAGGGGGGGACAGGAGCCTCTCTGCCCCCCCCCCGTTGTCCTGTCCAGTGGCTCTCCAAAGAGCTGGTCGGGTTGGATAGTCACACTGCACATGCAGACAGAAGCCTTTGTTGGTCCACATCAAAGCATCTGACTAATATGAACTCGTGAATACTCACAACACCCTTGGGACATAGGTAGGCTGCAAAGATGGTCCCACTTTTAAGATGGGAAGAGGTCCTGTTGTGAAGGGAGTTGACGATTTCTGGGTGCGTCTTGCGCCGAATGCTCCGGCCGGACCTGGCAGGGCTGTGATCTAGATGCTGCGCCAAACATTTTTCCTGTGACATCATCAGGCCTGACCACAGGCGGTCTCATGAGAAAGTGTTTTGCCATGAAGATGCTGCACTGGAAACTGCAGCCATTGCATGGCGTGGAAGATGGTAGAAGGGGGGCGCACAAAGTAAATTGTGCTTTATTTTAATCTGTTTGGGGACAGAGTTGGGAGATATCTTTGAAAAGATGCAGTATGGGATAGAAATTCTGGTTGTTGTTTTTGCTTCACTCTGATTCAAAAGGGTGTTGGCAATTTAACCTTCACAAACATCCAGTCCGTTGTTCTCTGCAAACAGGTAGATGCTACTTATTGGCTGTGTACAAAGTCAGTCAGAAGCCGCTCTGTAGTTGCACGCCCTGGGGACTCATTACTTGAATCTGTGTGTTAGCCCTCAAAGTTAGCCTGTCCTTCTGCAGTTCCCATAGACCCAGTCCTCCTTCTGGCAGTTACTAAGCAGTCTGTGGGCTTGCACTGGCATGGTGATTGAGACTCGGGATGCCTGTATCCATTACTGGAGTGCCCGAGTTCGAGTCGCGGCTCCGCTTCTCATGCCAGCTTTATGCTGATACCTTGGCATGGAACTGGTGACGCTCAAGCACGTTAGGCCTCTGCAGCTCATGTGGAAGACCAACATGGAATTCTGGGTCGTTGGCTCTGGCCAGGCCCAGTCCAGCTGCTGCAGGCATTTGCAGAGTGAGCCAATGGGTCTGAAGGTTAACCTCTCTTTTCTTTATCTTTGAAATAAATTTTAGAAATCGAATCCTTTTTTCAAAATTAAACTTTTTTTTAAGTTAGGTAGCTCTTGCTGCCCTCAGTCTTGTGTTGAGTCTCTTTCCAAAGACGTTAGAGTAAGGGGGGACTGTTAGAGTGACTTCATTCCTACTTTGGTTTGTTGCAATGTGAATTTAGAAAGTAGCTTTGAAAAAACTCTATGCTCAAAATGTGTTTCAAATTTTAAAAGATAATTTTTGAAAGACCATAAATAATGTTTCTAGCTTCACTGAAGATAAAAACTACTTTGCTTCAACATTTGTTGACAACATGTCACACACAGATGATGACATGGCCCCCGATGTCTTGTTACATTCATTATTCACTTATGTATTTTTCATATCTTCTGTCCTGAACTTACTGCTTTCGTAATCAATAATAAAGCATATTTTAAAGTCGCTTCCGAGGCGCTTACTGGTGCGAGGCTAGCTTCCGTGTTTCACAGGCATCACCTATGACACAGGTAGCGTTTCTTCATGTTGTTATTGATCAGTGAACACACCAGGGCGCGCAGAGGTTGGGCAATGTGTCCAGCGTTGCACAACTGGCAAGCAGTAGAGGAGGGCTTCAAGTCTAGGCCCAGGGACTGGCGGGCGTTCAGCCACTGTGGATGCTGCCTCTCTGGACACCTGTTAGTGTCTGCTTAATTCACACTGGTGCTTCTCTGGAATTGCTGTGACTTCCTAAAGGTCAGTAATTCCACCCAAAATTCCCAGAGAACCCTTATTTCTTCATGTCTAGAGACTCAAGTTCCACCTAATGCTAGACTGTGGTTGCAAAGTTCCAAAGATCGTTGTCGCGCTTTGGGCACCCCCGAGCCTCCGATGGGCACTTTCCTGTTTTTAATCCCCACAGTTAAGGCAGTATTTCTACTTTCTCGGCCAAACCCATCAGAGTTCTTGTTCTTCAGTATTCTTGTCTACCAGAGGCATCAAGTCTACAGTGTCTACTGCAGAGGTCACTTTGAATGTGGCTTGGATTGCCTGAATATTTTTTTTTTCTACATGCATCTAACTTTCCTGTTTAAAAAAAATCTCATGTCAAGCAGACAGTTCTAGTTGCATGAGAGTAGAATTGCGCATCCATGACTTCTTGGGTGATTGGGCATTTTTGTTTGTGGCGTTCTTGAAGTACCTGGAGGACTGTGTGACCTTGGCTATGATGTGATCTTCGAAAGATCACATGAACTTTGTGTTGTGCGAAGTTGTTTAGAGCCAGACCAGATATAGTGTTGGCATTTAATCGATGTTGGTTACTTTCTTCCTTGCTTGGACCATCATCAACATCATCATCATCATCAATATCAAATCCTTTAGGCACCTTAAGCATTAGCCTCCCAGGCAGCCGTTGCTGCTGTAGTCTAAACATCATGCTTTGGTGCGTGTCAGAAGGAGCCATCATTTGCTTGGTGTTTTTGCTGGTGGAAGGAGCTAGGGCTTGAACTGCCGTGTGAGATAAGTCACATGGCCCTCTTGTCCTCAGTTTACCTTTTGTGCCATGACAGGTGACTACTTCTGATTCCTCTGAACTTGACAGAAGCGCTGAGGTTTTTCTCAATGCTTCTTTAAAGATGACAACCAGTGGTTTGCAATGACTTGGAGAAAGTAATCTTTGCTTTCCACCAACTAAATAATCCTGTTTTAGACAGCGTGTGTGTTGTGTATTACAGTCATCATTTTCATTTACTGAGTAGTTATTCTGAACAGCTGCTGTGCTTAGCACTTCTCATGCATATCGCGATTTATCCCCTCTGTGGTCCTGAGCTCTCCTGTTATGTGAATGGGGCATAGTAGTGAGATAGTCTGTATTTCTTTCTTTCTCTGCCTTCCAAAAACTAATAGAAGACTTTAGTAAGAGTACTATGCTGTCTTCACTCTTCTTTTCCATCATGTGTTTTATGCAAAAAATCTTTTTGGGAAAAAAAATCGCCTTGGCGCAGCTTAGGACAAGACTAAATAAGGGAGCAGAGGCAGAGGTGACGGTATCATCAACGTTCCAAGAGAAGATGGCTGAACGCAGGTGGCCAGAGAGGTGGAGACACGGGGAGTGCAGGCCGTGTGGTGTTTACCACCGGAAGGAGGAAGCTCCGGGTGCTGCCGCACACAGGTACAGCCGTGGACTGTGGGTCTGGGCAGGTCAGGGAGGGCCGCTGCTTGCAGGAAGTAAACTGTGAATGGAGTTTTTAGGGAAAGGTAGACTTTGCGGTATACTTGGATTTTCTTTATCTGTGGACAGACGACAAGGAGAGCAGAACTGCAGATGTGGCGGAGCCTCCCAGCATCCCGGGACTGGGAAAGTGGGATTGCAAAAGAGCCAGTGTGTGTTGTGTGGAATGAGGGAGGCAAAGCAAAAAGTGGGTGGCACAGCCCAAGTCCCTTTCCCTTCGTCCTGAAGGGCAAAAGGACCGCAGCCATTCTTGCCTCTGTGCTTCTGGGGCACTGCATGTCCACTCCCCAAGATTACCCCTGGACATCGTTGGTCTAATCAGTGACCTTGGTACAGTGTGAGTATCAAGTTCTCACCAGACAATCTTTGTTTGTTTTTGTTTTTCTGTCCTAGCCACTGACTGGACTTGTGACCTTGAATAGATCATTGAACTTCACAATTTCTATTTTCCTACTTTAAATCAGCAATCATGAAACTTTCACCTCCCTTAGAGGTATTGGGAACAAGAAATAAAATACTAAGTCCACAGCCATTAATGAGTTCAGTGCCTGGACCATCAGTGGCTCAGTGCCTTGTTTGTGTGAATGTTTTAACTGCTTTGGACAGGTTTTAAGCTGCACTTGCCTCTGTGTTTCTAAGCATATCTCATTTAAAAACACATTTATTCATTCATTTGAAATATTATGTGACTGGGAGAAACAAGAAAAGATGGAGCTGAGGTTTGGGAAGGGAGAGAGTTTCCATAGCAGCCATGTCTGGTTAAAGCCAGGAGCTGGAAGCTATCTCCCAGTCTCCCACAAGGATGCCAGCGGCCCAGTCACTTGAGCCATCCTCTCGGGCTTTTCCCGGTGCACAGCAGGGAGCTGGACGGGAAGTGAAACAGCTGGAACACAAATTGGGGCTCCAGCATGTGGTGCAGGCATCCTGAATGGAGGCCCCATTGCTGACTGTTTTCCCTTTTTTAAAAATTAATTTAAATTGTGCATTTTAAT